ATTGAGAAATAGAAACAACAAGCTAATAACAATTAGCGTCCTTACAATTTGCATAATTTCCAAATCACATATCACTACCCTTTTTGATCGAACCGTCCTACGCCCGCTTCTCAACCTGAATTCCAAATTAACTAGACCCTATTGCTTGTTCTTGGCCCAATATCTTTTTTTTTCTTTTCAATTTATAAATGGTCATATGAAATCATTTCTAACTCAGCGTCATTGGATTGCCGTGTTGAAATATACAATTGTGGAACTGTTAATAGTCCCTGATTCTATTTTTTTTTTTTTCATTATAGATACAAAGCATCAATCACTGGGGGCCAAAATCTACGTTGTTTTCTCATATGATTGTCCTTTTCACACATTATTGCAGTGTAGACAAATAGATCATACATTTGATAGGTTCAATTCAATTGAATCCATCATTTTGACAAGGAATGCAGCTGAAAATCACCAATCTATTGATAAATATTAAATTCCGAATTCATAATTCAATGGTAAATCTTATAGGACCTTAAATGTTGAACAAATCAAGTTCAAATACTAGATGTTTGTTTGACGGTAGATTAATATATCTCCATCAGTTATCAATGATTAAGTTCTAATGTTTCTATCCAGAAATCATAATCTGCAGCAGTAGTACATTTTAACTTGCCTCTTTACGAGCAGGGACATTGATATGATTATGGACAAGGGCTTGGAAACCTCGAGTGGACCTTGTTGATCTCAGTAATTATCTCAGGGCTGAGGTTGACCTTACATGCAGCAAGAACCTCTTCAAGCTGCCAAACTTTTGTGGCTCCAAAAACAACACTAGCCACGAGAGAGTGTCTCATAATGAAGGCTGCCCAAACAATTCAAAGTCAAAAGATATGTAGTATATATCAAAATCTGTAATTAAGCTCAGCAACACAAGCGAGCATGTCATAGACTCAATCAAAAGACTATCATGTTTCAGTTATAGTTCATTAGGAAAATAACTAGAAAGGCTAATCTATGATCAATAGTGGATAGGAACTAGAATAGGAATTCAGAAGAATATTGATCGTACCAATTGCAAGAGAAACTGGATGAATGCCATATCGGCTAGCAATCTCTACGTATGACTGCAAAAATGAGTGAAATTCATGATTACAAAGGTAAATGTCAATTGTATGTCATAACTCATAAGACTAAATAATTAGCGAAGAAAGTAGCTAATTACAAGAACAAACATTAGAGGACATATTATACAGTCTTAAAGAGAAAAACTATTCAACTTAAATAGTAAAAGAAACTGTATCACACCCATGAGAAAATCTGTTTCTTCCAGAAGTGTTTTTTCCCCCAAGTATTCCGAGAAGTTTGAGTTTTACATGTCAAGCATAAAATGAACAAAAAGATATTGCATCACAAGCACACAGCACATGTTAAGTATTCCATCATTTTTTGTATAATTAAGCACGGTTCGTTCTATGCAAAAAAAAGCTATGTATTTCCAGACCTCTATATAGTTGAGTAAAGCAAAATGGTAAGACAGCTTTAGGAAGAAGAATTTCCTTACTTTGGCAGCATATAAAACATTAGATTTTGACAGGTCGTATCTGGACTCCCCTTCCTTATATCTCCCTACCAGAAGTTAGAGATTAATATAGTGAAGAAAAATTTACAGGCATTAGTTAAATATTCCAATGAAACTGGCAACCAGTCTGACCTTTAAACAGATTTAAACGAGCATTAGATGGACCACCATCCTCGGCAAAGTACTTCCCAGAAAGTATGCCCATGGCCAGAGGGCTGTACGCCAACAAGCTTATCCTAGAGACATTCAGCAAGAAAAAAGAAAAGAGGTCATTACCAGCAGTCAATTCCACAAATATTTCAACTTAACAGATGAGCTAAGTTCACAACAGTTTTTTTCTCATTAATTTGACAACAGGCAGGTTGTTCTTGCAGAAAGCAGCAACATTGAAGATAGATCTTATTGTTTATATCCCTTTGTCATTCCCCTAGAAGACCAATAGGTTCAAATCCTATAAACATGTTTTTTTTTCTTCTTTGATTGATTCTCCAAAAAGGGTACATGAAAATCACTATAGATAAGCTAAGATCAAACAAAGATGAAAAGTAGCAAAAGAATCATGGTCAAGGTAACTGAAACAAGTCAAGTGAGCTCCAGAGACGGTAATCATATAGTTCAAACTTCAAACTAATGTTGCCTTTGCAGGAAAAACAACCAGATGCAATGACTATACCAGTTTCACTAAAAATAGAAAGCTACCGCTGTAGCTATAGAGGATGTTGAACAGTCCTAATACAGTTGAAGCATAGTACAGGAGTTACTAGATGATTGTTGAACAGTCCGATTTTTAAAAAGAGATTGTTGGGGATCAACAGACTAACATTGTGCTTTTCTGCTTTTCTGACAGTTCCTTTCAGTTTCCTATAATCTTGTCAGCAAATTTAGGACCAGTATCCGTTTTTTAGAGTCGTCCATGCTTTCCAAACAATATCCAAGAAGGTTCACAATGCACCCTCTTCATTTGCACAAATTAGATGTTATAGTACAGAAAGCAACACCGCATACCCAAATAAAATGCCTATCCCAAAGTTGTCCACACAATCCAAGAATTACCTCTCATTGTGACAGCATTCAGCCATAGCTGAATCAAAATTTCGACATAACAAGTTGTACGCATTCTGAAAAAAAAGAAGCCGAATCAAACGTTTAGATTAGTGAAGAAACAATACTTGAAGGAGGTTAAGACAAAAAAGTCTCAACATTAAAACAGGATTGAGCAAAAAAACACCTGAACAGACACTATCTGAAGATTCCCCGCTGTACTTTTGGCAACTTGTTGGAACTTCATAATGCCATATGGTGTTTCGTTACTAAGGCCAATGTATCTGATCTATAATTTGAACAGCCAATAGGAAATAGCCACCAAATATATGACAGTTAACATCTCAGCCTTCATGAGGAAAAGTAATTAGTGAAGTTAGCATCTTTGCTGTCATGACTGACCTTACCAGCATCAACAGCTCTTTTTAGCGCATCAAGTTGTTCCTCGAAACCTACTGGCGTATAATGTCGTAGGGGATCATAGTCAGTTTCTCCAAACATAGGAACATAGCTGCCATAAAGTTTAAAATGGTGAACATCAGAATTGATGTTGACAGTTGAAGAAGAAAACATCTTAAGATATCTGTTTAAATTTTGATAAATGAACTTTTTTCGAGTCTTTACATCTGTGAGAAAACAATGCCACAAAATGTAGTATTTATCTACAAACCGATCAGGCCAGTGAATTTGATACAAGTCAATGTAGTCCGTCTTTACACGCAACAGGCTGCATCAATTCAATAAGGTACCTCATCAGAAGCAGTACAAAAATATAAACCATAGCAGATAGAGACCACTTTATTGTCAAAATCATGCCTCTAATGCAGTCAAAACAGAAACTGAATGGGCAATGTAAAGGTAGCAAAAACCAAAAACAAGAATTTACTCAAACCTATTATCAATTGCCTCAGTTATGTTCTGAGCATCCAAGCTTTCTGGTCCATTTCGAATCCAAGACATTTGTCCAGATGGTCCACTGACCTATAACAACATAGTTGTGCAAGATATCAAAATGCTATAGTGCAGTTGGAATAAGATCCCCAGCTCCAAACAAGAAAAATGAAGAAAAGGGAACATACTTATAACTACATGTTAGAAAGAAACTTTTACAGCTAACAACATAAATTTTACTCCTTATAACTTCGGAAAAGCAAGAATCTGTCTCATATGCTACTGATTTCAAAGTATTCAATCGTGCCTCATAGACAGCTAGGCATAGATAAGTGCTAATTTCTTGCATAATCAACTCCTTTGTCACATTTTAGTACCATAAATGCCAGACATATTCTGGAAGATCTAGCCTATTCAGTCAAATTATCCTAATTAGTCCTACACATCATATTCAAACATGCTGATGCCTAAACCCAAATTCGACCTTTAGGAATAGTAACACACAAGTGCATATCTTTCATCTAATCTTTAGGAAGAATTGCTGATCAGAGCTAATGAATAGAGAACCTTAGTGGCGAAAACAACACTATCGCGAGGGACATTTCTTTCTCTAATCCAACGCCCAAAATACTCCTCACTTCTGCCATGAGTTTCTGCACGCTGGGGTACTGGATACCTGTTTTTTATTGATTTTATAAAAGAACAAATCAACAAAACGGTTTATAAATCTCCAGCATCCAATCTACTTCACAATTATAATTTGACTAATTTAGTATCCTTAAGAGAGGAGTAAATAAGGACTGACGATTACATTTCAGCAGAATCAAAGAAGTTAATTCCGGAGTTGAAAGCTTTGTCGAGCAGTTGAAATGATTCAGCCAATGTGTTTTGCTCACCGAAAGTCATGGTTCCTGTGAGAATGACGATAAACTCAAGGCCGTTAAAGAGAGTGCATTTACAAAATAAATACACAGGAATTAAACAAAAGTTTAACCTAAACAGAGTCTGGAGACGGTCAAATCTGGAGCAAGGTTGAAGAGAGGAACTGCAAACGCCATTAGTGACTGCACAGAAGAAACTCATAGAATTTGCAGAATAAAGCGAGGGAGCAAAAAGAAGATATGGAGAAGAGATAAAGAAAAAAGTACTAAAAGAGGGGAAAAAAGAAAAATGGAGATGCAGGGGATCGAACCCTGTACCTCTCGCATGCAAAGCGAGCGCTCTACCATTTGAGCTACATCCCCTCTGTAATAAAAAGTAATCTTTATACATCTACATTTGTCAAATACAGTGTTATTTTATGGTTTATGTTGAACAATTTACATCAAATAGTTCAGTCACTTGTTGCATAATTCCATTTGAAAAATCGGTTCAGTTCGATTTTGAATCAATAAATTAATAATTTTTTTCTATTCAATTGCAAAAGAATGTATTTCAATTTTCATGGCATTGTTAAATACTTTAAGATTTGCTTTAGGAAGGAGACATAAAAGTCGAAGCAATATAAACTAAAAATTATAAGAAATCTATTAATCTTTCATATTTCTACATAATCCATCATAAGAAAATGAGGAAACAAACTTGCAATTCACATACGAAAAAACTCCCAAACTAATTAACCCTAAAAATCAAAATTCACAACCCAATTCCTCCTAACTCAACACCTAAAACTCCTGTGAAACAGAGTTGATTTCACCTTTCCCTTTAACAATCTTCTTAGGAAGCAAATTCTGATGAATATTAGGCAAAACTCCACCGTTAGCAATAGTAGCAGATCCCAACAACTTGCTCAATTCATCATCATTCCTCACAGCAAGCTGTATATGCCTCGGCACAATCCTGTTCTTCTTGTTATCTCTCGCAGCATTCCCAGCAAGTTCCAATAACTCAGCAGTGAGATACTCAAGCACAGCTGAGAGATACACCGGCGAACCAGAACCAACTCGCTGAGCATAACGACCATTCTTCAAAAAACGAGCAACTCGACCAACGGGGAATTGGAGACCCGCTTTTTGAGATCTGGAAGTAGATTTTGAAGCTTTTTGGGTCTTTCCTCGACCAGCAACAGATTTAGCTGCAGTAATTGAAGGCATATTGATTGATTCAAAGGAAGAAGAGAAGTTTTTTTTTGTTTAAGAATTTGAATTTGCTTTGCCGGTAGATATTTTCCAAATTTGAGTTTTCTTTGGGTTTATATAGAGTTAATTTGAGTTATTTGATTGGTTCATTGAGTTTCACAAGGATCGCCAACGTGGCATTTCTTTTTCCTTTTTTTTTGTTAGTTTCATGCTGAATCGGATTGGCTCATTAGTTTTACTCGGATTGCCAACCTGGCATCTTTTCTAACTTTGATTTATTTATTTTTCTTTTAATTAATAAAAAGTAAGGAAGATTTAATCCAATCCACTTTTCCATTATTATTTTCTACTAACCATCTTGATATATACTTTTTTGTCTCAAAATATTTATCAATTTTTGTAATTGTTGACAAAGTTTTTTTGTTATTCGACGCTAAATAATTGTTATTCTTGAATATTACAATCACCTTAATTATGATACATAAATAAGGATATAATAATTAAATATTTTTTCTAATTAGTAATATTATATTTTAAAAAAAGAGCAAAGTAAAAAATGACAAGTATTTTAAGATAGAGGAAATAGTCTCTCCGAATCACTTTATTTAGTGTCTTAATTAAAAGTAAATAGTCCAAACTTTGATCGTATTAAATGTCGATACATTTGTTATATAATTGAATACTCTTTTCATTTTGTTTCTAATAATAATTATTCTTGTAAGTAATAAATATTGATTAATTCGCATAAAAAATCTAGATAAAGAGCATATACTCTAATATTTTGATTGCTGAAATTAACTCTTTTTTATTTATTAAAGAGACATTAAAGAAATAATGTTTATACAAAAGATATTGATATTTTAAATTATTAAAGATAATAAATAAGAATATGATAGTCAAAATATGTTTACTTTTTTACGGGCAATGTATATATAAAATGTGATAAAATAAATTAATTCGGAGAGAGTATTTCATATAGAAGTGTCGTAAATTTCTTTAAAATATTTTTAATTATATCAAGTAATGGAATAGGTGATTAGACAAGACATAGTTTAACATATATAAGGTTGACACGACCTTAGATAGGAGGATGTATATTAGGGCAGAGGTTAACAGGCAGTGACGTGTTGTCTTGCTTTTTGAGGACTTAGGTGTTAGTCATCGCACTAGCTATTCGATTGTTTATTGTGTTTTGATTGTCTCATTATTTTGTTGTTTTTTTCTCTTTCTTGCAGGATTTGCACTCTTTATCTTGTTAGTTGCTATGTTTTTTCCTTCGCAGTTTTTTTACCTCTTTGTAATTGGATTTGCTATAATTAGAGTCGTCAAAATGGGCTTGACCCGTAAGGTCATCCCGACCCAACCCTTGAAATAAGTGGGGTTCGGCTTAATTTCTTTGGCCCATTTAGGAATGCGGCTTTTTAACCCGCCCCCATTAGGCCCGTTGGCCTCGTAGGCCCAGCCCGCAAGCCTCAGATGCCAGCCCATGGGCTATTAATTTTTTAAAATATTTTTATATATTTTTAATAGTGTTTTATTTGTCAAGATTTTATCAATAAATATTTTTAAAAATAAAAAATCAAGTTTTTTGCAATATCATCTTGTATGGTGAATTGTAGATGAAGATAGACTTCTTAAGGAAACAATATCACATGTTTCAAATCTGATCGATGGTGGAAGAGGAAGCAGAAGGAGAAGGGGTATCGTAAAACTTTAATTATGGGTCATGTAATATTTAGCAAATTAGACTTGTTAAGTATTTGGGTTGCCTTGTGTTGTTGGAAATCTTTTAAATCAGGTAGTTTTTTGTGAGAGAAATAATGGAATGATCAACATTTACTCGCTAAATCTTACGTTGGCTATGTATTTTTGTAAATATTCACCGAAGTGTGATTTATAAATGAATTTTGGTATGAGTTGATGTTGTGTTCATAGACGTCAATGTCCAATACTCTTTCTAAGAGAGTAATATTGTTTATTTTTTTGTTGAAGGGTCGACTGTCCCAATCCAGGGCCCTCTTAGGGCTGGGTTGATCTGCTATTTTATAGGCCTTTTAATTAAAGGAAAAATGACAGAAATTCCACCTCTAAGTGCTCTTATTACCATTATCCCCTATTTGTTTTATAAATTCCCAAAATCTCTCATTTTCACGCATCAAATTAATTAATGTATCACCACATCAAATTAATGTATCTGTCGCATCGAATCTCGTGCATCAGATTAGTTGTATCATGTATAAAATGTATATCAGATTAGTGTATTATGTATGAAATGTAATGTATCTTACTTAACGATTAATGTATCTCGCGCATTAGACTAATGTATCAACGCTTATATTATTGTATCAATTTGAGGGATTTCTGTAATTATACACTTATAAGAAACAAATGATAATTTTGCTTTAAAAGTATGTGATTTTTTTCATTTGCCCATAATTAAAAGGGACAGTCCGCCCCCATTCATTTAACTTTCTAGCCCGTTAGAATTGGGATGGGTTGTACCAACCCATTTTGACAGCTTTAGCTACAGTTCTTGAATTGATGGTCTTTCGAAAATAACTTCTTTAATTCTATGAGATAGTGATAAATCTGCATATACTCTAATATCCGAGATTCCACTTGTCCGCTAAATATGTTGTTGTTACCAAATACCAATAATTAATAGAATTATTTTACACTAACATAGCACACCCTCCAAAATCCAAACAAAAGTTTCACATGCAATATTTTAATCAATATTATAAAAAGTGTGGCGTAAGGTAAAACATTTTACTTCATACAAGATAAGACGTCTGAGTTGTAATTAAGTATAAAAGTTTTTAAATTCTCAAAATTGAATTTTAAAAAATGAAAAAGTAAAATAATAAAAGTTGTATAGTTGTAACTTGTAAAAGTCATTCAACTAAGAGACTGAGACAAATAAACGTGAAAATATAAATTTGGATCGTCTAGTTATTTTTAGGAGGATATTCAAATGATTTTAACCCTCACGATATTCTCAAATAATATCATTTTACTTTCAAAGTCTCAATAATATTTTCCACATATCAAATTATGAACCACCCATTTAAAAAAAATATTTGTTTGAATAGGATTCGTTACTTTTAATCATGAATAACAATTAGTAATAAGGTTTTCAGTGTTGGGTATGGAGAAAATCTTGAAAGGAGCGTCATCTTCGAATGAGTCCTGCATGGCACGATTTTAATTTAATTGGCATGGCACGATTTCAATTTAATTGGAACTCTAATATAGCTTCCGAACACTGAGTGAGAAACAAAAAAAATAAAAATAAGATTTGCATGGCGATTTTGATTTGGGTTATATGATTTTTTTTCCTTATAAATAAAGAGTAATAAATAAAGGATCAAATTAATAACAGCTATTAGTTGAGATGTTAAGAATCAAGCTGTTTCAATCTGCATAGTAGTAGTTGACCAATTACTTAATTTTTTAATGAAATTAAATAATTGGTCATCAAAAAGTGATTTTTTGTCTTTTAGTCTCACCAAATTTGTAGTATCAGTCCATGATATATGCCTTCCTAGATTCCCAATTGGTTATGTACGCGTAGATACGTCATATATAATAATTCATATAAGATATCACGTAGAATATATATATCTATTTATTTGATTTTATAAAAAATTATGTAGATACATCCAAAGTTGGAGTGTGTTGAAGTCAAGTTAATTAAATGATAAGCTTTTATGTGTTATGCAAGAGATCCTATCTCCTCGGAGAAAGAACAAGTTTCATACATGACATTTCAAGTTCATCGTCTCCCCCGCCAAATGATAGAAAGGTTGTGCCTGGTCAAAGATGTATAAAATGGAGTAGTTGATCCTCTGTCTCTGATTCCAAAGTGACAATGACACCTTCCTACTCTCTACAACAATCACCTTAAAAATATATTCAGATGCAAACAATGTTAAATAAAATACTCAAAAGTTGCCATCAGCCATTTTGGTATCTTCATATATTACTCTAATCAATCATCATTAATCAGTTTGTTATGATTCTTTCAGCTCAATCATGGACAGACTTGTTAAGCCTGATTTGGATGAACTCAAACTCTGTTTCATCAAAGGCCAAAAGTGTTGTGCAGCTTTCAAATTAACTAATCTTATGCACACCATGTCTGTTGCTGTTGCTCTTTCTACTACTAACCCTTCTCTTTTCTCATTCTCACATCCATTTACTATCATTCCTCCTCTCTCAACAGCTTCTTTCACTCTTTTCTTGACTAATTCTTGTGATCAACCTCCTGTTTATACGCCTTTAGACATCGTTATAGTTAAGTCGTCTATGCTTCCTACTGGTAAAGCAAGTGAGGATGATCTTCGCCGTCTTTTCTCAAGAAATGGACGGCATATTTTTAAAGATGCCAAGATTCCTATTTCCCTTGTTGGTCCACAAGTTGTGGAGTTTCTTCTTTCATCCAAGAATTTATTGGATGTTAGTTTACTTCTCCCAAAAGCCTTGTCTTTGTGTGATGGTTGTCAGCTTGATTCATTGCTTAAGTCTGCTGCTAAGAATGGGAATTCACGTTGTATTTCAGCTCTGATTGAGGCTGGTGCTGATGTTAATATAAGGGACTCGGGTGGGGACTCAGTTATGTCACTAGCTGTGAAATATGGAAATCTTGATTCTGTTCAGTTGCTGATTGAGTCTGGTTATACTATTGACAACTCTATTGATAGGTTTCTGCATTATGCAGCTGCCACAGACCGTGTAGACTTGATAGAGATTCTTTGTTTGGGTTATGCTGATATAGATTTGAATTCAATGGATTCACAAGGTAGAACTCCCCTTCATATAGCAGCGTATCACAGGCATGTTGAAGTGATTCAGTTTCTTGTATCAGTAGGGAGTGATCCAGATTTATTAGATTCTCAAGGATGGACTCCTTTGCACTTTGCTGCTCAACAAGGCCATGTTGAAGCAGTTGGTTTCTTACTAAATCATTCCACTTTTGCAAAGTATGCTGTCACGAAACAAGGGAAGACTTCGTATGAGGTTGCTACTGATGAAGGCCATTCTAAATTGTATGATGTTTTACAACTAGGAGACACTTTGCATAGGGCTGCAAGAAAAGGGGATGTT